ATATATATATATATACATACATATATCGAGCAGTGGTAAGGGACTCACGTATGATTGATTATCGGGCATGTTAAAAAATATGAGAAAATACCTTTTTCAATTTACAACAGACCATACGACTTGGGTAAACTGTTTAAAGGCATGCGAAGGTAATTGAAACCATCGATAAGTTTTATTTTCAAAAATTTCATCAATATTATTTTTGATCAATTTATGATAACGGATAGTGCATTGAGTTCATCAACTCTTTCAACTGTATACTTACGCTATAAGCGTTATAAACTTGTTAGACGATTGTCTTTTTGTGGTTGGATTTAACATAGATAATTCATGGATGAAATAATATTCTTTGCAAATGTAACAAAAAGTAATACCTCATTATAAATCAATGTATAATCTTACTCCTAGTTGTATAAATAAATACATTATAAATTACCAGTAGGGTATCTGGGTAAAAACAATACAAGTAATAAAAAGAAAAACGGTTTGATGCTTATGTTTTTGTTTAAAATTCATATGGTTTTTGTTACAACCCATTTGTCTCACTACCGTAAGGGCTAAAAATTTTTTTAATAGTTGTAAGAAAAAAAAATAATAAGGCTACATTTTCACTGATAATAATAGTGTACGATACTTTTTCCCAATCGATGATTTCAACCAACAAATTTTTGAACACCTTTTCAAACAAACAGTTTCAATAACAATTGCGTTTAAACATATCCCTTAGGGTTCTAATTTGACAATGTCAATTAAGAAAATAAATTTTTTTAGTAACATATCGATCAAAAATTACTAAAAAACTACTGCTCCATTCTCTACCACACACAGTACTAAAGTGTGGCTCACGAACATTTGCAACGCGTAGCGAAAATTTGAGCACACTTAACAAATGAGTTTCCGTATTAGGCTCCGCTGTTAATGTGGAAGCAATACCTACTAATGACTAAATGTCTTCCTCGTATTTCATATGAACTTTTCGTAAAAATTGTTATAGGTAGACTTTTTTATCATACCTTCATGCAAGAGGTAGAGACGACAAAAACAACATGAAAAAACCCCTTATGGGTAAAAGTGTAAGGTTCTTCGATTGTGATTGGCACAAGAAAAGTTATGATTTTTATTAAACATTCTAATACATGAAATCATTAATAATGTTAGTATTTTTTCTGAAATAAGTGTAGCTGCAGTTTTTCACCCTCGGGACATACTTTGTTCCTTTGTAGAAACACTTTTCACCCACGGGCAAAAGTTATTTTCTAAGGCACGAAGTGTGCCCAAAGGCTCAAAATTTCACTTAACGCCCTTGGTAAAAGAACAATATACGCAACTCGGACACAAACATACAACAATGTTTACACTATTTGCCTTAGAGACGTAATGTACCATTTTCTACATCAGGCGCTTTTGAAAGGCTGGCGTGCCCTGGTAGAAAAATAGATTTTTCACGTAAGTGCCATCTCACCATGGCTGTCTTACGTCCCTCAGGCCGCAAATAATCCCATGGACGATGGCACTTATTCGACGAAAACTACTGTTGACTTACATACACAAAAAACTGAAAAGCATATATGGTGACGAATCTCTAGTATTAGCAAAGTATTATTTGTTAAACAATTTAATTACATGCTCGATATCAGAGTATAATCACATAACGTGACTTGATATGATTATACAATTGTCCATCGTAGTCATACGTAATCCGAAAAGAAGACATCATTAATTATATAACTTATTACAGTCAAGATAAAATTTGGGAAGATAGACAATATTGTACGAGATTTTCGATCTTTTTTCGATGCTCATAATAGGGATGACATTATCAAAGTACGACCTTAGGTACTAAGTTTCTTTTATGTTGATAACACCGAAGAGTTTGTGTTTAGTGAGAGATTATACTGGAAAGTTTTCTTACAACATTTTATCTTGAGAATATACCTTTCTGTTACAATTTAATATTTATACGCACACTCAGTTTGCACAACAGTACTGAAAATAATCAGTGTCTCTACAGTGTACCACTTTTAAATCGCAATAACGTCAGCCAGTATTTGAAAAAAAAAGTCCACTCAAGGTATTTTCATTAGCGTACAGCAAAGTAAAGTTGTAACATATTCGGAGACAATGACGATTACGACTCGGGGTACGAGAGTACCAACATAGTTGATGAGATAGAAGGGGAAGAAAACTAGAACAGGGACAGTGAAAGTATATGGTACCAGTAAGAAATGTGTGATAATTTTTCAAGATGATTTTTGAATGAAGATAATCATCCTGGCATACCATTTTTACTGCCGTTTTTAAAAAAAAAGCTCATGATGGGACAATGTAATAGTAAGAAAACAGGTGTCATTCCAGGTTGTAAGAGCGTTTTAAGCATAGCTTTAACAATTATTCTACATAAAAATAAGTGATGCATAGAACCAGCTTTATAAGCAAATATGTCAAAAATGAAGAGACCTTGAGTTTCTCATTGAAAATAATTACGTAGTTTTGTTATGTATTTAAGTACGTATCAAAAATACGTCACATAAATACGGAGTGAAAATACGCGTTGGTTTGGAACCTTTCGTCACCTAAATTGATCACGTATTTTGCAGTCATGAAGTATTTCTTTATTAAAACAGTTTTAAAATA